ATTTTTACTGTTTCCTTTCTTTTCCCTGTAGTCAGATTCTTGGTGTGTTTTGATGTTGGATAGGAGGTGCTGATTTATCTTAGTGTCAAACAAGCAGCTCTTGAGCAGGTTGTGAAGTGGCACGATTGTCCCGGTGTAAAATGGCTCTGCTGGCACCAGATGTCAGTGTTGGTCTGTGCTAACAACCCTGGCAGGGCACATCTCTGTGTCCCCCTCTGCACCACAGGCTGAGCAGCTGCCTCAGATGGTGACAATCTACTTGTGAGACATCGCCTGCAGTGGGATTATAGATGCAAACAGCTGTCTGAGTAAAAGGTTTTTAAAAATAAAATACTTGCTTTAAAAGTGCTTTGATAAATTGTGTCAATTGAGTGTGTACGGGAAAAAGGAGTTTAGGTGAAGCAGGAAGGGACCTGCTTTGAGGTGAGTGACTGATTTCTGAGTCAGATTCTGTGTTCCACCTTCAGGAGGACTGTAGAGAACTCTTGGCTTGTTGTGATCTATGGGCTGAAGGAGCTTTTGGCATAACCTTGCCAGGGAAATGTTACTCTGTGTAATGGAAGGCAGTGCTGGCTGCCTTTGCTTTTGATGGCCACAGAGCTGTGAAACCTGGTGCCAGCATGTTTGGCCAGTGCTGCTGCTGAAGGGATGGCCTTCCCAAGGAGCAGGAGAGTCACAGGTTAGGGTCAGAGGTGCTATTTCCTGATTGACACCCTCAGTTTTGAGGGGGGTACACAAACTGTTTTGGAGTAATTTTAGTTTTAACCTAAGTAAAACCTATCCGTGACTTGAATTGCGTTCCAGAGGTTCCTGTTCATCTCTGATCACTGAGGAGAATGCAGTGGTAGTCATACATGTAATTTAAATACTCAAAATTTAATGTGATTGAAGGTAATATCTCACTGATTAATAGATCAATAGATTGATGAATTCTTCTACTATTGCTGCTATAAAATTGATACTTCCCACTACAGCTTATAAAATTGCATTTTAAAATGATGTAAGTTTTGACCTCTGGCACCCTGACTTCCACAGTGTGACAATCTTTTGGGAGTAAAAATATCTCTTTTGCCCCTCTTATGCTCCTCAAGAATTTACCTTCTATATTAAAGACAGACAACTAATTCCCATCTCCCTATACTTCAGTATTGTTCTTTTTTATTTTTCAGATTTTTGTCACGGTCCTTCCTTTGATATCTTGTTTTGTCTAGAGACAAAGGTCTCTAATTGTTTCCCAGATGGATATTACACCTCCAATAATGCCGTTCAGATTCTATCACTTTGCAGAAAAATGGTTTGTTTTTCTAATTTTCCCTAACACTTCTTATTTATTTTTTTTTTACCCTTATGAAACAACTGATTTTTTTATAGGACTGTGTATTATAAACCTAAGATCTTCCTTCTGAATGGAATGAGTTGCTTTAGATCTATTGTTTTATATACATACACTTTTAAAAAAGGCTTTGTTTATTCCATTCATTAGCTTTGAATTCTGGGAAAGATTTGGACTTTGGAATTCCTTAGTCTGATTCTGCTTCTGGTGGGGAAGGCTTTCAGCACTGACAACACATCAGGGAGAATGTAATTCCAAACCTGACAGTCTAAAATCTGAAAATATTAGGGCTTGTCAAGGGACAGAAAGTTAAATGCTTGGAAAACCTCTTCTTTTTTTCTAGTTCTGTCAAAGTAAAATATTCCTTAACCCAGCTCCCACTTGAAGCAGCAGTGAATGATGCTTTCTAGATCCAAGCCTAAATTTCTGAAATCTTGGTATGAATATTATGTGTATACAGAAACTTAGAAGATGCTAACCATGCTATCCAGAACTGTCTCCATAACAGGGACAATTATTTTTAGTTGCTTTAATTTTATGCTCAGGGGCCTTTTGCAGCAGGGAGGACCCTTTTGTAGTTGTGTATTCCACAGCCCAATTACAACAGTAATTGGAACAAAACAGAAACCACTTGGGAGCTGCTGTGATTGCTCCCAAAACTGAAGGATTACCTGTGTTCATCTCCAAGCATCTGACAACTTCGTGGGTAAAACTTTGAAACATTATTTAGTGTTTTGCCCTCATCCTAAAAGTGCTCTTGAGAGGAAAATGATCTAAAGATGAGAAAATCCCAGCACACACCTTCAGCTCATCATTCCTCCTAGGTGGCATCTATCTGGTAGGTGAAATGGCTGTAGTTTAGGGCAGGGTGTGAAGCAGATATTTAAAATACTATTTAACACATTGTCAGTATTTTTAATCCCTTGCCCTCTCCCCCCCTATTATCTACCTTCCCTTAAACCGCTGTTGTGTTCATTAATCCCTGGTGTGAAAGTGTATCCATAAACTAAAGTTGCATTTGGTCCTCAGAGCAGGAAGAAGGTGAAGAAAAGCAAAACAGTAACTTTAGCTTAGTAGTAGTGAAAAAAAAAATCTCTCTGGTAAGAGAGAATACCAACAGTGTGAGAATTGGAACATTGCTGAAATTGAAAAGAATGCTGAACTAATGTTTGTATTAGAATAAATTACTGGGAAAAAAGAAGAGAAAATATGAAAGTATGAGAACACATCTAGACTGCAGAGTCCAAATGGATTAAATTTTTAGGGAACATAGAAGCAAACAGGAAGCTTCCTGTTATTCTCAGATTGATAACAGAAATAAGAAAGTGATTTTAGCAAGAAATGTATTTCACTGTTATCTCTGATTCTTTCCTCATATTACCCTGAAAAAACACGATAATGGAAATTAAAAATATCAAAAAACCCTCCCCCCTGCCCCAAAGCCAAAACTCTGCCTGCTGTCCATCTTTATAACTCTTGTCAACCCTGAGGTACCTTCAAATACTCAACAATATTTAGCCAGGAGATAAATTCTGACTTTATATTGCTTGATCATCTTATCTGCTTATTACTTTGTAGTTCTGTCTGTGATTTGCAGTCCCACCTGTCACCTACACTCTCTCTTACTGTCTCCTGTTCTCACCACAATGCTGTTATGACATAATCTTTGCCTGGTACTTCTAAGGCCTTCCATAAAATAAAATTAGGTCATCAATTGTTTAAGTATATTCTGACAGCAGTGATCTAAACTATGTTAAAGCTGTAATAAGTTGGTTAAAAAATGGAGAAATGTGGAGAAGCCAAAAAGTAGCCACAGCACATATTATGGCATATTATTCTTGAAGAATTACAACCTGTTAGTGTATTTCTAGCTGTGTAGTAAGACTGCAAATTAAATACTCCATCGACTCAGATTTTCCTGCTTGGTGGTAGCAAGACCAACTGACATTATGGAAGTGGTATTTTAATGCTGCTTTGAGAGATGAGGTAATACTTTGATCACTGAAAGGGGTTCTTTTTTTTTTTAAGGATTTTTGTCCTGGTTTACAGAAAAAACTGAAGAGCTCTCATTTGTGTGAGTTTTATGTGTTTCATCCAGGAAAAAAATGTAGAGTGCACAATTTATTTTTATCTTCCTCTAGTTCAGTGGCACTGATCCACATCTTATTGAAGTTTAAGAACTTTCTAGCTGTTGCTGTGGGTTTTTGCACCAGGTTAGAAATGGATATCCTTTTGACTTTCGTGCAAGTGAACTACTTGTGTCTCAGATCATAAATCTAATCACCAGTGGAAGTCAGACAGAAGAATGTCCCCTTTTTTTAGGCACTGATCTGCTCTCTTTCTTCTTGTGTGCAAGTAATGAATGAGCTTTCCAAAGGTAAGGGCTGATGATTCTCCCCTTCCCCATTTTTTCCTCAGGGAGCAGAAAATTCTTCTACATCCCTAAGGTTGCCCACCATGGTGTCCTCCCAAGAAGGCAAGAATAAGAAGGATTTTTAGGACACTTCTTTCTCACATTGCCTCCTTTAATAAGTTCTGTGCTTCATTTTCCTTTTGCTGGATTTACTCCAAATGTTTCATCATGAGCTCGGAGTTTTACTTAAATCTTACATCTGCTAAATTAATCTCTGTGTGGCAGACTGCTACAATGATTAATATTTCCCATCTTGGTGTGGACAGTTGATGCAAAACACAGGCTAATGTTTTCAAAACTGCACATTTCTAACTAAAATCCCATTAGTCATCTTTTCTAGACGAAAATGAAGGGTCATGTCTACACTCAAAGTGAGGCAGACTTTAAAAGGCAGACAGAAAATATGTAAAAGCTCACAGCGTTTTCAGAGCATGCATTGATATATGTAGCTCTAAAATATTCCAGGGTGTGGGGTTTTTTTCTTCTCTGGAAGAAAACACAGATGTTTGAACTCCAGCATTACCCACAGCACTAGTCATCTTTTCCAGGTTGGCTTCCTAGATGAACTGTGGCTTCAAGTCTAATATCTCTGGGATTCCTCTTCAACTACATCAACATCTGGCACAGTGATTTTATACAGTTTTGTGATTACTTTCCCCATTTAAAAGACATACACTATGAAAAATATTACTGGGTGGTGACGTGTTATCACACAAAGGAAAGATGGTCGTGGCTGCAAAACAACCACCTTTGCCTTCGTGGTTAAACAGGAGATTTTAGTCATGATTGGTTAGAGACCCTGGTGATAACTTTGATTTAATTGTATTTTTCTTGTATCTGAATAAGAACCTTCATCCAAACAGTGATCAGTGATAAGACAGGCATGTGAAGCAAGCAGAGGGAGCAGCATGTGAAGCAATGCAGGCACCAAGAAGCTTCTCAAGCAAAGCTGGGTGACCTTTAGCATGGCTGCTGTGGCCCAGCCCTCCCTTTAGCAACACCAGAAAAATGCTACTGAGAGCAGAAGGTTTCAATCAAGTAAGTGAAAGTGAATAATGGTTCTTACTCATTCTACGTAAGGATGCTAAACCAGGTAAATAACCCGTGTATTGCATAAAATTGAGTTTTAAGCAGGAAAATCATGTCCGTGACGAATTTGGGGCAGAGAGGAGCGTGACAAAATCAGCTGACAGGAGGTGACTCCTACAGACTAATCACTTTTGATCTGTACTTCTGTACAGATCAAACATTGTAGGGTTTTGTCTTCAGCCTTAGATTGCTTAGAAACCAAAAATGTTTGAGGTCTTTTATTTCTTTTTATTTCTCAGTTCCTCATATAAAACTGTATTTTTTATACATTTAATTTTACATGGGGCCTGTGTTTTATAATGTCACGTAGGGTAATTTCTACCAGTTCTACCCAGTTTATGTCAGAGTTTCTTTAGTGTGCAGTTCCATGTGCTACACATATAAATAGTAAAGCTGCCAGAGCTGTATTTCCCTATTGTTAAAGTGTCTGGGCTGCACACAAATTCATCTTGCAAGGGCTTAAAAACCAGGGATTCTGCAGGACTTACTCAGAAACAGTTTGAACCTGGTAACTTCTGGGGATACTGGTGAAGAGAACATTCCTCTGGCAGGCACACTAAGTAGCTAAGGTTTTGTGGTTTAGTTTAATTGCATTCAATATATTTTGTAATTAAGTTAAATAATGTAGAGCCTTAGAGGTAGATTTAAAAGTTTGATTAACAATTAACAATATAGAAAATAGAATTGTAAATTCTTGCATTTAACCTAGTTAAGGCAGAAAGGCTGGTTTAGTATATCATCAGATTTTGTCTTCTGCACTTTTCATTTCATCAAGGAGGGCTACACATCTCTCTTTTTCACTAGTCTGGAAACAGTAATTGGAATTCACCACTTCTGTGGAATGAGGGGGGAAGGTAAATTCTGTGTGCAGCTCTAAATGTAACCCTACCTACGTTCCTTCCTGGCAAAGAATAGCCACTACCCTGTAACTCAGAGAGGGATGCCCAAAGATGTCTTCAAACACTCAGTCATAAAATCCGAGTCCCAAACGCTAAACCTTGATCTTTTCTTCGATAAGAAGTCGATCAATAAACACATTCAGTGCTCCCAAACTCTCCTGGCAGTGATGCCATCATAAAGTCTTGAATTCTCAGAGCTCCCCGAGTGCAGCACTGAATTACTACTGCAGCCACTCCTGCTTGCTGGGGTTTCTGGGCTCATCTTCCTAGTTGCAATCGTGGCAAAGTCTCTTGTCTTGTGCTCCCCTGAGAGTGCCTCTTATTGGGATTCTTGGAATATAAATCAGTGACTGTTTCAGCCCACGTTCTAGCGAGTGGACGACCTCTGTATCCCTTTGGATAGCTCTGGAGTGACTCACTAGTCTTGTCCAATCCTGGCTTTCCTACCATTTTTCCATCCACTTCAGTTGCAGAACAGTGGGGTTTTTTTCTGCACTTCGGCTCTACGAACATGAGGGAACTCTGTTTAGCATAAATTGAGTTAACTGACTAAATCTGTGCCTCTTGCTGGGTTCTTTGTGTGGCAGTTTAATTTCCTTTTCCCTGCTATGGTTTCTATTGGACAAGGTCGGGCTCTGAGCAGGAGCAAACCGAGCGGGCATCTCCTGGCTGTCCCTTGGCTCTGAGCAGTGTGACCTTTGTCTGGCACTCCACACTTGCTGCCACGCACAGCCTGATTTAATTTACCAGTTTGCACAGATTTCATTTTGGAAAGGAAATCTGGCCACGCTGACACGTGGAACTAAGCGATGACAAAAATCCCTGTGTTACGCTGTGGGAAGACAGTGGTTTGTTTGCAGCCAGCACATCAGATTTTTAAAGGTACAGAAAACTACCAGGAACACAGTAGATGTATGATTGAGAGTCAGTTTTCACACAGCCTCACCAATAATAACCCTTAATTGAAGACCAGTTACATAAAATAATGTTTCATTTTGTGCATTACAGCAGTGCAGTTGATGAGAGTAACCAAAGCTGTGGCACTGAGAACTGGAATGAAGAGTTTTCTCTTACCTTGGGGCCTGTGGGTCCATCCCTGCCAGATTTCTGCCACTAGGAAGCCGTGGCCTTCAGGATTGGCTCCCTGCATTTTGGGGAGGTAATGGATTTCAGTAACATGCTTTTAGAAGTCAGCTTTGTCCAGCCCACCTGGCATCAGGTTTCTCTTCAGACGTTCTGCAAAATGAAACTTAACTTACAACACCTTGTAAGTCACTCTA